GGAGCGGAGGAGCCCGGCAGGGAGGGTCCCCAGCCGGGACGGGAGCGGGCGCGGGGGCCGCGTTTCGGGAGGGCGCGGCTGCGGGAGGGTTCGGAGCCGCCGGAACGCGGCAAACGCGGGCTCGGAGCCCCGGCGCCGCTGCGAGCGCCTCCCTGCCCGGCCGCGGGGCCGATGGGCGCCTCCCTGCCCTCAGGCACCGCTCGGGGCTGCGGCCGCATCTGCCCCGGCACCGCGGAGCATCGGCCGCTCCTCGGGCCTAAAGGAAGGGCTCCTGCGCCCGCGGCATCGGAGCGCCCGCGGCCTCTGCCTTCAAACGGCACCGCAGAGCCGGGCACGGACAGCGCATCCCCAATGGGGAACGGGGAAAATCACCCASAGATCGGCCGGGACACAACAAAGGGAACAGGAGCGAGCGGCTCGCCCTGAAATGGGAAGGGACACTCACAAAAGCCCCAAAGACACGAATGCCTTCAGCTTAGAATGAGAAAAGGCTGTGAGGGGACATAAATCAGAAGGGGTATTTTATTYCTGTTGGGGTGAACGCCCACTGTGCCCTCTACCACTACATTTTTGGCGTGATGGTTATGCACTTTGGCTATTTATAAATTCAGTGCAAAGCGTGTATTGTCTTCTGCAATATACAAAGTCACCCAACACTGCAAGGGAATCATGCTAGGAAAAAATAGCAGTTTTCATCACCCAATCCCTCAATTTTAATGTAAGGAATGGTTAAAAGATTATAAGGCACAAATTGCTGAAAAACATTTCTTTGGAGAACAAAATCAGGTTGCGCTCTGAACAGCAAGAGGATGCTGCACACCCAGTTGTTCTTTCAGGACTGACTGGCTCCATCCCTTTGCAACCTGGTTGAAGATGTGCTCAGGTTTTCCTAGTGAGTCTGCCATCTTCTGTCTCTAGCTATAGTCGGGAGACAATTGAAATCAGGGATACTGAATTTGTGACAATGTTTCTTGTTCAATTTCCATGACATACTTACAATTTCCATTATTTGCATGAAGGGCTGATGGCTCCTCCAGCATTCATTAACCAGGGAGTTGAAGTGCATTTGTTTAATTTTGAACATACTTGAAGCTGGAACTGCTCTGATAATTCCGCCAATAACATTCAAGGCAAAAGAGATCACAGCAAAGATTTTACACACTACCAATTGAAAACCTCACACTGCTTTGGAGCCAGCTTTTAAAGCASCAAACTGCCTGCAGGTGGTCACCACAGGGACCACAGCTTTCCCCAACATACCACCCCATGTGGCTGCCCATACTGTGTCCTGCAGTGTCACACTAAGAAGCTGAACTTGCACCAAACACCTGTTGAAGGAAGGAAATAACCAGAGGTGACATTTGACACGTTAGTTTTTTATTCAGTGCACTGGACTCGTACATCACTGATTTGTCAACTGACAACATTTCACACATTCCTATAAAATCAATGCCAAGTCCAGTTTCTTGTTAAAGATGCTCAGTGTAAAATGTAAAGCAGTCTATCAAATACTTCCTTTTGCAAGTACAGCTCAGAGCCCAGTAACAGGCTGTGTCCAGCGCGTTCAGAGCTGGGTTCCAGCAGTGCATGGAGAATGCAGCAGTTACTCAGAGTTGATGCAGGGCTTCATTAACAAATGTCTAAACCCAGCTCATTAACAAATGTCTAAACATCTCAGCCAGTGTTTATCAGAGTGCTGCTGCTAGTTTGACTATGCTGCTGCTTTGAGCATGGGTGGAGCTGCAACTACAAAAATGCTAATACAGAAATACTGCAGCACTGGAAAATGTGATTCAGGCTGGGGCAGCCTGTCTGTGGGCCGTGCTCAGGACAGTCACTCCAGCAGCACGCATGGCACATCTCACTGCGTCCCCACAGCCGGGCCAGCAGCAGCAGTCAGAACAGCACAGCAATCCACAGAGAAATGCAGGGTGCTCAGCCTGACTGTCAGGGCAAAGGGAGATGTTTTCAGGGTGGAGGGGTCTTACACTGCAAACCTCTAGGCAGGGATGCCTGCACACACAAGTTGAGCAGTTRGGTGAATGCTGGGGATTGTGGGCAGCTGGAATCTGCTGCCACTGCTGGGGCACATCCCTCAGCTCTACACATGCTCTGCTCCATTCTCTGCYCCGATGTGGGCAGGCACAGCATCCTCAACCCTGTCCCACTCACTGGACAATATAGGGAAGGCTCCATGATGTCCCCTCCCACTAGCACAGTCATCCTGGTCAGCACAGGCTGCCCTGGCAGGGGAACAGGGCTGATGCCAGCTTACAGCTTYCCAGCAGAGCTCTCCTGGTAAATCCATCTCCGCTCATCCCCTTCCACCACCTTCTTCATGTCCCACCTGCCCTGTGCTCTGGCCCAAACGCTCAACCTGCCTCATCCCTGCCCTCAATCACTCATTCACTCAGTGTGTAAGGAAGGAGACAGCACATTGCCCAATCRGCTATCTCAAAGGGAATCTAGAGACTTTTATTGAGTCCTTGTCATGGAGCCAGGACTGTTAASAGGCAGTCCCTGTGATGAGCACGAGGTCCTAAGCCATGGTGACTGTCCGTCGGGCGCTCCTGGCCGCTGTAAAGCGCCTCTTATTCCTCAGACCAGAGAACCTCTCATCCAGCGTCAGGCTGGTCTGCAGGGGAAAGCGAGAGCGAGTCAGTCCCCTGTCTTGTGGCAAAGCACAGCCAAACTTGTAGCGGGGTATTGATTAGAGCCCATCAGTCAGGCTGGTGTTTCACAGCTGGTTAGTCAATTAAACCACTCAGCACACAGAGACAGGGAGCTCGACAGACTGTGTGCGGCTGGAAAACCTCCAAGCAGCTCCCAGCCCCAAGACACTGGGCATCCTCGGCAAGAACAGGAGCAAGCAGATGGCATTTGAGCACAAGGCATCAGGTAAAACCAAACCGTCCAGACAAAGAACGCCGGCAATGAAGAAGGTGGAGCARGATTTCTCAGCTGCCCCAGGGCTCTTGGACCATACTCCAGTGTAAAATGTGACACCAAGAAGGGCACCAAAGCAAAGAGTGAGCAAAGCCCAGAAGTGCCATGTGTCTCTGAGGAACGGGAAGCACTGACAGTGAAGCAGACCCCTCTGGCCAGGACTACTCATCAGCAGGATCTCCCTGCTCCGAGCAAGCACATGGACAGGCCAAGACAGGCCATCAGAGTGGGGAAAATTRGGCTGAGTCTGTAGTTGCTGAACAGTCTTCTCAAGTGCCTTCAGTTCTGTGAGCAACCTGGCCAACACAGCTACGGGACTTTCCTCTGGGGTTGTGTTACATAAACCCAGCTGGCAGCCCCAGAAACCTGAGTGTGACGTTAACAGCTCAGTGGCCGGGCTGCTGCAGGGAGCCCGGTGCCTCCTGTCCCGTCGACAATCCTCTACCTGGTTGGCCATGGCACGGAAGTTGAACCTCAGCAGCACCCCCCTGGGCTGGGGCTTGGCCACCCGCGCCGGGGGTCTCTGGCTTCGCAGGAATGGGCGCTTGGATCCAGGCCTGGGGAAAGCACACATCTGCAGTCACTCAGGATGTTAAGGTAGCTTACTTCCCATCCTCTGTAAAACAGCACTGAGTAAAGGAGACACCTACACATTCCATGCATCCCATGGCGTGTCTGACCCCTGGCAGAGTTGAAAGGCAGCCAGGGGAGCTGCCRTGCAGGCAGAGCTCCGACACTGGGGACTGTCACATCCAGGCTATTGTGGGGTGCTCTCTGAATCCAGAACACGCACAGAGCCCTCACCCACCCTTCTCTCTGCCYCCAGCTGGGTGCCAGGTCCTGCAGCTGCACCGGCTCAGCCCAGGGCTGGAGCTGCCCCTTTCCAGCCTCTGAGCTCCCCATACACAGCAAGCACAAGGTGTYCCTTTGGGGCACACTGTTTCTCCAACACCCCACAAGCAGCACAACCAGCCTGCCACCTCCTCCMACAATGGTGCTTCCATTTCTGCTCACTCTGCATAACAAAGGAGGGCACGGGTAATTACAGATTACCCTGTAATTACAGGTAAATACAGGAGATTTTTATCTCCTTCAGATGCTGGGAAAGGAACCAGACATMATTTGCCAACCATTTTGGGTCTAAACCATTCACTGCATACTCATTAAAGAAGTGAAGCTGCAATAATGCTAAAGGGATTTGCAATGGCTTTTGCAGGGCTCCCACCCTAACAAATCACCTCATTTACTTACSCGCTGGTCTGGCCCGCCTGGGGATTAGCCACAGAAACCGTCAGAATTGCTCCTGGGCTGGGTTTCACTTGCCACCTGCCGAGACAGGGAGATTTATCCAGCTTCAGGCATGAAAGAGCACKTCGGATTTGCATTGTGCCTTTGTTCATCAATTACCTTCTCATCCTTGGCGGTTTCCCTTCTCCTTGAGCATCCATCTGCTGTGAAATATATTTAAAAACAATTACTTAAAAGAAATAGCTCTCAGAAACAATGATTCCTTTTCCAGGATTTTATTTGGTGTATCTGAAGCTCCTTCCTTGCAAGTAGTCAAGTAATTTGCTAATTTGGGGGTTCCCACTGGCACAGTGACGTGTGCAGGGTGCTTTACCTGCCTATAAACTGATTTTTATCACCCTCCCAGGATTTTACTTTCTAGTTTCAGGAATACCAAGCTGCATGAAAAATTGCCTGCAAATACTTCCTAGCACATATGAACTGTTCAAGTCATCCACCAGTCTCCCCCAGTTACTTTTGGAAGCAAAGGTACAACTGGGTAAAGGCTGGTAAAACTGCAAGTTTGTCACTACCAGCAGACTGCAAGACAAATGTTTAAATACTGACCCCTCTCTGAAAGCGGGAGAGCCATGGCTGCACCCGCCTCTGCTGGAACGCTGGTCCCCTGTTCAGCAGGAAAGGCCTGATGGTAAAGGAGAGAGAAAAAAACAGAAGATAAATGATGTGAAGACAATGCCAGGTCTCTCCTAACGTTTCATGCCAAAATATCTAACCCAAGCCTGTCTTAAAAAGTAGCATAAGAAGCAAATGAGGCTATCTGATACCAAGTTCAGCCYAACAGGTTTTTCTGCCAGCAAAGGATTTCAGAGCAACTTGATTTTCTGCTCAAATGAGACAAGCTTGTGTGTTCTGAACTATGCTCGTTAACAGTAAAAAATCTTGGGAGTAAAATAATAGAAAAAAAATAGGTCAGAAAGGACTTCTCAATGTCATTCTGTCCCTGCTCTGCTCAGAGCAGAGAAAGACAGGACTGCAAGGAGCTTCCTTTCAAGCTTGGAGAACACAATGATCTTGATGAGACAGGCACCCAGACAGTGCCCAGCACCTGGCACACTGCCTTCCTCACAGCTCTTGGGGCACAGTCTGCTCCTGCAACCCCTCACTGGGACAGACTCCCTGTCTCAGCCTATCCCTTATGGCTGGAATTTGTATTTCCTGCCTTTATGAAAACAAATGTGATTTCACCCTTTAAAAGTGTTTGCCAAAGCAACAAAGTTAATAAAATTACAAAGGACATTTTCTGTGCCTCCTGAAATAAGATGACAGATTAATATCTGCATTATTAACTAYGAGCATGAGGTTGTTTTCTTTCCTAACACACCTAGGAGTATTTTTCTCATGCTGCACAAGCACATGGCCGTAGCCATGCCCAGCTGGCACCTGCAGAGAGCAGAACCCCGTGAGCTGCACAAGGAATCAGTGAAAACCAAAATAACCTGGAGTTACAGAAGACTTTACCTTCTCCCTGGGGCACGGACACCATCAGCATCTGCTCTGAATCTCTTGGGGCCTGGCTGTGGCTGTTCCTCCTCCTGCCCGCTGCTGCTTTTGGCAAAGGCATTGCTCTTGTTGCCCTGAAAGAGCAGTGAGACCTCAGCAGCTGTCACCTGTGCTCCAGTCTTGGTACACGAACAGGGAGTGAGGGCAAGTGACAGCACACAACATCCTGCTCTCCACTGACTGCTGTAAACAATGAGTCAGGGTGTGTGCCTTGCTTCCTGGACATGGAACTACAAGTACTAGAAGACAGATTTGTTCTAATTGTACAGAAATCAAAGCAAAAAAAAAAAAAATCAGTCCATGAGATCAAATCTCGCAGAAGCAGRGAATGATAGCTCTGCTCAGGTTTCCTTTTGGTCATCAGCTCTTTTTTGCCTGGACACATGCATTGCCTGGACCACACCCTGAAGCCTGGAAAGCACCAGAAGACCCTTCAGCAGTGTCTGTCCTGTAGTTCAAACACCAACTGCCCCAGGCTCCAGCCTGTGTATTTCTGTGGGACAACCACCATCACTGTTACTACCCACTAACTGAGGTGTATTTCCATATTCTTCCTCCTTGGTTTATTTCTGCGAAGCTACTGTTGAATTATGCCTCCTAGCAACTGCTTATTACTTACTGTAAATACCAGCCACACTCAATATCTGAGTCATCCTGYTCTTTCTCTTCAGGAATAACCTCACTCCTTGCACATGCAGGCTTGGTTTAAGGTTTTTTTATTTATACCCCTACAACACATCCACTAACTGTGCCACCATGTTCAGCACCTGTGATTTTTTAAAAAGCTTACTGACCATACATGACCTCCTAACTGGGTGGATTTTCATCAGTGCAGGAAAACCCAACTGCCTCTCACACAATCTGTCATAGTACTGGGAATCAGTCTCTGGTAAAAGTATGTCTCTGAGCCAAAGTCACCTGACAAGTCACCAGGTATACTGGCCTGTGACTTTACAGAAACTTGGAAAATGCTCCAGTGGAGAACAAATAACAAAGAATCTTAACACACTCCTCTAAATTATAATAGYAAGATGAGATGCCATGGAATTAATTTCTATGGAAATATTTTTAAACCTTCTAAGACCATATTTTTAAAAAATCTTTTTTTGCAAAACCCAGGGAAACTGATCAGTAAAATTATGCTAAAAGTCAGAAGCTTATAAAACCAAATGGAAAATTCCTATTCCGTATGCATGTATGTCTGTACTCACCTATGCATACAAATGCTGTGCACAGCCATATAAAAGATGGTGCTTTTTATATAGATTGTTCTTTGGGGTGTTCCAGGATCATAAAATKGAGCAGATTTCTACATGACATTTGGAAAAAGCTGTACCTTCCTTATTTCCCTACCTCCTGAGCCAATGCTTGGCGATTTAAAGGGCTCACTCCRTCGAATGCAGAAGCTGCTCTTCTCTTGCGATCAGGCAAAGTATTCCTGAATTGTCTGCGATTGAATTGTTGCTGTCCAAACCCTCTTCTGAAACGGTTAGGTCCTACAAAACAAGCCCACTTATTTTAGCATCCTTCAGAATTCAACCTATGACTAAAATCTGTAAACAGATTACAAGGTTAACTTAATGTGCTACAGGACTATCTACACAAATAGTGGTGCAAGAGTCATTCAAATTCATATTCAGTAATTAATTCTTCCAGTGTGTCTCTAGCATTCCCATTGTATGTAGGACTGACATAGACATTATTTGATGTGAAAGAATACAGAAGAGAAAAGCCTTTCACAATTCTAATTCCTCRTAAAGGCAGGAACACCCACATCAGGAGACCTGTCAATCTGTTGTCAGAGCTCACACTGCTATGAATTAACTAAGAAACAGAAAAAGCCTTTTGATACAGATACACAAGTGACTTCAGCAACCCCAAGTCAACCCCACAGCAGCCTGAAATAGCCCTGAGTGCCCATATTATAGTATATCTTTTATTTATATATATATATACTTCTATTTTCTTCTAGCTTAACATACCATAACTTCTCGTATTGAAGGGAACATCCCCTGCTGCTCTGTCATGAAACACACACACCCGCAGTCCGCCTAGCATTTTAGCCTTTTTCCCTAAGCCTGCTGATGATTTTGAAGAGTGCTGAAGTGCTGAGTGAGAGGAAAGCCCTGTCAGACTGAGGCACAGTGCTTCCAAACCTAATTACTCCACACAACAAAATTCTGTAGTCGTAATGAGACAGAAAGTTTCCGAGTCACTGCGTGAGCTGACACAGTCACAACAACAACARCCACAAATTCACGGCTGGAATGCAAAGAGGGAACTTATTTCTATTACCTCACAAACCAGCAGATCCCTGAAGTAACACCTCAGCAGAGCCACGTGGGCACAGTCACCAGCAGCACTAAGCTTGGCTCAGTGCTGGAGAATCCCCAGGCTGCCACTCACACCAGTTTTTCAAGGGTTTGGTGCCTGCATGGAGTTACCACTGTGCTGTGTTTTGACCTCCTCTGCACCAAGGCAGGGACCCCAAGCACGTCCATTAGGATGCCCCCAAGTCGACCAAACACCTCCATTATCTATAATCAGATGTTCTACTTCTCAAAGCACACAGCAGGTAAACATCAGGAGACTTGCTTTTCAGACTTTGCTACTTCAGACTTTGCCATCCCCAGCTGCAAGGTCACTTGAGGGTACAGCCCCTCTGTTTTCAGCCCACTCCCCCCGACAGCTGCTGCACAGAGAGATGTGCACACATGCTGGGGGTGTATAAATCAGCACAAAGCTGGGCATGGCAGAGGGCACTGAGAGTGCACTCACACCCTGGCTCACATAGCAGAACTTCACTGACACACCACAGAGCAGACAGGTGCATGTACTGATCTTGCTACATGRCAGCAATTTATACTGACTTGGAGCAACTGGAAATGAAATGTTCTGAGGCAGCAGTGACATTGCTGAGAGGGACCACCACTGCCACAATGAATGAAGGCTCCAGCCTCAGGGTGTAACATCAGTGGGCACCACTGTGAGTTGCTCACACTGGAACACGTGTGAATATTATTTGAGCTGCTCTGCCTCTAAAGGAAAAGGGCAYCAAGGCAGGCCTGTGGGAAGCAGATCCCAAACACCATGCTGAGATGCTTTGTGCCCTATGGCCAGAGGTGCTGGTTGGGAACACGCACAGAAATGCAATGCACTTCACAAGCTCTGGGGACAGATGTTATTTCCTTTGCAGACAATGCCCTCTCACTGCAGAAGTGCAGGTGTGGAAATGTTCCTCTCTTGACAAATATTCATTTTGGCAAACATTCTTCTTTTTGACCAGATGTGGACTTGCTGTGTTTAATGGCCCTTTGATTTTTTTTTCTTCTGTTTCTATCCCCCCAGGATTTTTTTGTCCTGTTCTTGTTTCTCTTCAACAGCCTACCCCAGGTCTGCCCCTATCTCTTGGCTATTTGCTGGACTGCTCTCCTGCTGGCCACCAAGCCCTGGTGCATAGCTCTCCTACACCCTGGAGAGGGAAAGAAACTGAGCTCAGCTGCCTTTCCCAGATATTCCATCAGGGCAATAGGAGAGACTGCTGCAGAAGGCAGCCCTGACTAGAAAATCGTGCCCCTGTGAGTCTGTTCCTATTAGAGAGCCTGGGCTCAGCAGTTCACTCAGGCACAGCTCACCCAACACAAATAACACATGACAGAGCCATCAGCCTCCAAGGGGGACCCCATTACACCAGCTGGGGACCAASGCCTCACTCTGTCATGTGTGTCCTGAAGTGTGACACATGGCAGGCTTGTCTCTGCAAAAGGTCTGRCAGATATTTAATAATGTAAGAACATTTCAATAAAACCCCTCAATGTCAGCAGCTGGGGAAGAACCCTCCCACATACACTTTCCATGCTGAGGTGCATGCTCAGAGCCTGGTGCTGAGCACCCCTGGGATGGCCAAAAGGCACCTCTGCTCAGCCAATCCAGTCTGGGCAGAAGTTCCCATGTCTGACAGATTCTTTTTTCCAAGGAGATTTGAAATTCAAATTTCTCRTCATTAAAAATCATCTTTCCCCCACTAGGGAGATGGTTTAAGCCATATTCCAGGAGGGATTAACAGCACTTTGCTTGCTGGTTTAATCAGCATAATACCCTTCCCCCTCCTCTGTCATTACAGTGCTGGGCTCCTCAGCTCATCATTTTGATAATGGTTYTCACCTCTCAGCTCAGAAGGGAATGCRTTTCAGCAGAGACCAAMCTGAACTGAGCYGCTGAAGAATTATGGGCTAAATTCCCAGTCATGCTGAGTTTCCCCAAATTGCTACTGACAATCAGCACCACACAGCATGGCAGGTCTCTGCACTTAGCAGGGCTGAATTCAGACTCACTRAAAACCTAGAAAATACTAAAACCAGCAGAAATAATTCTATAAATTAAGAGAAAAGTTATTCCCATCTAAGGAATAGGGAAAAAATATTTTATTGGATTTGACTCTGGATGMAGTAATTGCTTGAGTGTAGGAGAATATCAAAGCCAGTGTGTTTTGACAGARAATCAGTTTGCTAAGGGCATTTATCATCATTCTGTTTTGAACTGGAACAATCCTCAATAAGGCAATATGGGATGGACACCAAGAGACACCAAGGGCAGGATTGCTCCCAGTGATTCCACTGTCCTGATGTGTGACTGGCACTTAAATATAAGACTGCAAAGATATTTCTGCAAAATATCASAAAAATCTTCAGAGAGTGACTTAGCAGTAATTAGAAAAAACAAGTTCATAGAGATGGCATTTCATGCAGCAGATAACTTTGGTCTGTAGGTAGAAACTACTGGAACAAAACAAGGGCGTGATCAYTCAGTATTATWAAAAAAAAAACCCACACCATAAAAATAGCATTGGCAAAAGTGACAATTTAGCTTCAATCACTGAGCTACCAAATACAGTTACTGAAGGGGTAATTTGGATAATTTAAGTCTGTTCTGGGAAAATGAGGATTAGGAAGAGGCATAATTAAAATATGCAAAGCCAAGGGGAATAGAGAATAGATATTAAGTCACTTTAAATTAGTAATTCATGAGAGAGTAGAAGGGAGAGAAATGGATGAATTGTGCTCTGATAGGGCCCTGATATTCTATTGTTACGGGGAGAAAAGCTAATCAGAGCTTGAGCACATCTTATACACACACAGAAATTAGACAGGAGAAGGATTTAAGAGCTGCATTTTGATACAAAAATGCATTTTCCAGCCTGCCAGGCTTCTGCTGCCTCAAGCACCCATCTACCTTGCAAATTCCTCTGCTTCCAGGCTCGGAATCGGGGCCGCCCATAGCCGGAGGCTGAACTCCTGTTCTTGACCTGCTGCCTTCTGCTGTCGCCCGYGGCGCTGGCATCTGTTTGTTCCTTCCTGTGGCGTTTTATGATGTCATCTAGAATGAAATGAGAAAATAAGAAAGCCATAGAAACTATGCTTTCTACCAACAGTGATTCCCTCTTTGGGTGTTTGCAATTGTCCACGGCAAAAATGGACTTTGCTGTTCTGTGAGCTACKCTGGACAATGAAAGATTAAGCTTAGCTTAGAAAGTATAGGATCAATTTACTGGGCTTCTGCAGGCTGGAGATTAGAGTGCAGCAAATGGTTCAAAAATGTGCTACCATCCAGCACGTCCCCACCATGGGCAGGACAGAGATTTCAGACCCATGTCCACTGAGGGATCTGATCCTGCAGGCTTCCCACAAGACTAAGGGAATATGTTTTTGCAGGGGCACCAGGAGCTGGGCAGAGAGCACTTCTGATTAGTCTGACTTGAGTGGCTGTAGGAAAGRTGATTGAAAGCGGGAGGATATGACAGCTGTGGAGCTACTTGGACCATGAACAAAGTACTTTTAAATGCAAAGCTCTATTAAGGAACAGCTCAGACCCCTCAGTTCTCAATCAGCTAGTCTGCAATCAACAGGGGCTTCTTAATTCAAGCTGTTCTGATGAAGAGGAATGGCAAAGGCAAAAGGACATCTCTTCATCACTTCTTATTTTCCAACATTTTCTTCCTTTAACCTCAAATCTTCTAGAAAATACTCTACAAATAATAAAGCCACATCTGTGAAGCTCCAGGSAAAATGTTTTAACAAATTAGCAAGAAATGAAATGACCAAAACAGGCCTTTTCCCAGGCAGTGGCTACTCCAGCTCYTTAATGTATCACTGGAGTCAAAGGACAGAAGTACCATTAGCTTTCAAGTGGGTGCTTATCACGAGCTACCATACCTCCAGCACTGGTCCCTTGTCACTTCCTATGAAGAAATTCCTGTGTCCAAATGAATACAGAGCCCAAGGAAAAGAAACGAGAGCAGATAAAAGAATAGGTTGCGTGACTGCTCTTGTGATCYCTCATTCAAGTCCACCAGGCAAAGAATAGGCTGGGAGAGGCTGTGCGATGTTCTTGGGATGAATTTGCTAATGTTCTCAGCTAAGTGTGCCTTTGGGACATGTGTGATCTGGGGCATAGGATGCTTTGAAGCATTTTGAAAGCCCCCCTGCACGCTCTGCAGGGAGGTGACCCAGGCATCTAAGGGTGGGCTGTGTACAGTGAGGAAATGAGAGGGGCTGAATGCTCAGGTGCCTGACCCATCACCTTTCAGTGCCTTTCTGTTTGGGTATGAGCTGTTACCCTGCATTGTGTGCCCATAAACATGATGGGGTTAACAGAGCAATGTAATGGACTACTACACAGGGCTGGAAGGCAAACCTGAGAGGTCACTTATAGCACATTTCTGCCCTCGAGGCAGAATTAGATCTATCAGGGCAGCTTTAGAGCAACTCCCATAGTTTCTTTGTAACTGCTAAGTACTGTAAAGCACAAATATATCTGAAAGCACAGAAGAAACGTCTCTTGGAAAAAGTTCCTCACCGAGGGGCTCTTGTTTGACAGTTCTCTCTTCTACCCTGAATAWGGTGTATTCTGGATGGAATATGGAGTTGGACCACAGGAGGGTTGACTGRGAGAAGCACTAAGGGAGAGCAAAAGCAAAGCGAGCATCACAGATSAGCAAAATGGGTGTGCAACACTGGGAGAAAAATAAATAAAAAATGAGGGACCCAGTGTTGCTCTAACTCCTCACAGAGCCATTAAAAAAAGGGTGCATCAGCCACGGATCAGTTTGAGTTTGCAGTGGAAAATGTTCTGCTGTTYCTAACAGATGGCTCTTTGCTGGGAAGAAATGACACAAGGTTTCAGTTAGGAAGATGACCAAATARTAAAAGGTGCTGGACTTCCACAGCAGAGACGCCAACACGATAATCCACTAAGATCTCTCGTCCATGCGTCAGAATGCAGGCCTCGGGAGTTCATGACAGGGCAGTTGCTGCTTGTTTATGCACAGTCCACATTCCCAGTGCCAAAGGAATGGYGAGCATTGAAGCAAGCCGCTATAAATAGCAGCACCGCGAAGACACGGATCCTCTTCCCATGCCACAGGGGCTGCTTTGCGTGA